CTAAAGTTAAAATATCTCTCGAAGTGAACAGTATTGAACAGTAATTTAAACAGTAAACTGAATAGTGTTTTTGAATAGTAATCAGCCGAATAAACAGTAAACTGAATAGTATTCAGCCGAATAAATAGTGTTTTTGAACAGTGTTTTTTATCTGAAGCATAAGTGTGGTATATATATATATATATATATATATATATATATATGTATGTATGTATGTATGTATGTATGTGTATATATATATGTATGTATGTGTATATATATATATATGTATGTGTATATATATATATATGTATGTATGTGTATATATATATATATATATGTATGTATATATATATATGTATGTATATATATATATATATATACACATACATACATATATATATATATATATATATATATAAATATATCTATGTGCCTGTTTGTAACAGTTTTTGGTCTGATGTAAATATATGATCAGTGGCTTTTCCCCTTTAATGTAACGGGGAAAAAAAATTATACGCTAGCGCGTGGAATAATACCAAGAAGCCTAGAATCATCTCATCTCTACCGGCATGCTAATGCAAGTGGAGCAGCGTTGTGACTTGCATAATTAAGTGGCATGAAGAAGGGCTCACAAATCGATCGTGCGCCGCTCCTGTAAACTGCTGAGAGGGTACGGATCGCTGCAAACACCGATCATGTTTCTACCGGCTCTTTTCTAATTAATATTTATATATTTTTTTGAATTTTGTTAACACTTTTCTTAAATTACTAAACGGTATGTTACGTGTGAAAACTTTCAACATAAAATCTGCTCAAAAATGTTAAATATATTCATTTATCCAGTTTATAATAATTAAACTTAATTAATTATGTACTACTCTATTCCATAATATATGGCACAAATACTTTCGAAAGCTGTTTCATAATATAAGGCATACATGCATGTATGCCATTAACTAACACCTTTTCTCCATTAAAATAATATTTTTTAAATTCTCAACCATCAAGATCTCTATTTTATTGGGTGCATGCATTATATCTATTAGGTTAATCCAAACTATGAGATGATAATAATTATTTCTTAATCTTTGAGTTAAGGGGGTTGTGCCTTATATTTAGGAATGGAGGGAGTAATAGTTTTGTTATTTTACGCGCAATAACTTAGGACCTGTTTAGATCAATTTGCTGTTGCAAAATTTTTTGGCAAAAGTTTTGGTGGAAAAAGATTTGGCATTGAAGTTTTGCTAGTTGGTGTTTAGATGCATGGTAAAGTTTTGCCATTTTACTAGTAAAGACAAAGAGAGCATGACTCCCAACACACTTTTTGGTAAAATTTGCTAGCCTAGACTCTCAAATGACAAATGCTAAATTGTCAACTTTTGCTACTAGTGTTTGGATCTATTTTGATAAAAATGCTCTAAAACAGCAAAAAAAAAAACTTTTGTTATTTAGAATGAACTAAACAGGGCCTTAATATTTATCTTCCTTCACGAGCACACAACAGTAAAAGGAGGATATACTACTAGTTCTGCGTGTGTGCTGTCGCCTGTCGGCCGGGAACGGGCCGGTGCCGGCCCACGAGGGCGGCCTCGAGATGCCGTCATGCCGGTCAGTTTGTTGCACACCTGACACCGTCTATCGTCTCTTGCGAGCGGGTGTGCCTGGTGGTGCGTGTCACATGTTTCGTTTTTTTTGGATAACACAAAAGAGCACATATATACACACACGCAACATCCTAATCACATTGAAATAGGTTCCCTTGCCGTTGCTCGATCTTACGTCGAGTTTGATTGACATTCATATAAACTGAAATACAAAAAATCGTTTCCCCTCATTTTAACAAAACCATATGTGATATGTCCTGTGACAGTACTGACGACTATTTTAGGTGACGCGTCATCCTAATGAGAAGAAGAAAAATTAAAAACATGTGGATCCTTTTTCCTCCTCTCTCCCCCTCTCCCTCTCTTCCACATCTCAGTCCAGCGAGGCTACCTGGCAATGAACGCAGCAGGCTGATCCCTTCCTGTCATAGCAGAGAAAATTGATATTTGGCCATCTTTAAAACCGGGTTTCCCTATTATGCCATACTTAAAACGTGATTCGATAAAATGGCAATCTCGAGCACGTGCTACTCATCGCATTGCCATTTTCGCCTTTTCATGATTTCCGAAATAGGTTTTTTGCTCTTCACGTGGTGATCAAACGAAAATACCCCTCCGGCTTGCCTTTTCTTCATCTCGCAAGTGAAAGGGGATCGAGCATTTCTAAAAGAAAGGGTCGGCCTCATGCCCTCATCGTCGCCGGCTGCTTATTGCGCCTCCCGCCACCGGCCAAGAGGGCCCACACCGGCCGGCCGGGGCACAAAAGGCGTCGTCGCCATGGTTGTGGGGGCTGTGAGGCCTCCTCCTTAGCTACCACCGTCAATGACAGTGGTGGAAGCGGCTTCTTCCTCGGTCATCGGCGGCGGCGGAGCAAGTGTTGATTGGACCGGAGTGACAGCGGCGGAAGGAGAGGTTGAGGGCGGTGCCGGGGACACAGAAGTGGATGCAGGCGGCGGTGAGTGCGATCTTGCCGGAGCCATAGTCAA